AATCCACACTGGAGAAAAACCTTACAGCTGCGATCGTTGTGAGAAGAGATTCAAAATTTCCTCAACGCTGAAACGTCATCAGCGAATCCACACTGGAGAAAAACCTTACAGCTGCGATCGTTGTGAGAAGAGATTCAAAATTTCCTCAACGCTGAAACGTCATCAGCGAATCCACACTGGAGAAAAACCTTACAGCTGCGATCGTTGTGAGAAGAGATTCAAAAATTCCTCAACGCTGAAACTTCATCAGCGAATCCACAGGAATCCTCCTGTCTTCTGTCACTACGGTGACAGTTGGTGCTGTCTGTAACATTTATATCAATAATAATAACAAGCATGCAAATAACGACTCGTGGCCGGACTGTAGTTCCAGAGACACAGAAGTGCCATCTTGAATAAAATCAAAGCCACAGAAATTACGATCAACACGATGACCATTGACAATCAGTTTCTGCTTAAAGAAAACAAGGCCTGCGGTGTTGTGGTGGAGCAGGGTGGAGCACGGCCCACGTGTGGAGGCCTCTGTCCTTGACGAGGCTGTCGCAGGTTCAATTTCTGGCCTGGTGACCTTTGCTTGTTTATCTTCCCCCTTCTCTCATTAACCACTTTCCTGTCAGTTCACTATCAAATAAAGGCCACTAGAGCCAATAAAGCCTTTACAAAGAAAAGAAGCTGCAACTGAAAAAGACAAAAAGCTTTGGCAGCTGCCCAGGAATTACAGATGTTGTTTGAGGTAAATGTATGTAATGGAGAAAAATTAGGCCTCGGAAATCAGCTGACCAGAAAGCAGAGCGACAAAGAGGAGGAAAGCAGACTCATTTTTGTCCTTTAGATATCGTTAATAGATGCCTAAACAATAATATATTCAGATTGTGAAACTAGAAAAAAACAAACTAAAATACAACTAAAAATGTTATACTAATTTTATATGAAACATTTGTACTACAGTTATTTAAAACCACCTTTTAAATAAAATATACAATGATTAGAAATACTTGTACTGCTACAAGCAAGGACCGTTGCCATGGTTACGAGGATGCGTGGCGGCAGCCTGATTTACAGCAGCTGAGCTCTGCGCAAATTGGGATGCATAAAGGAAAGGTGAGCAGCGGCTTCATACATCTGGATTTTTTTGTGCACCACTTTTCTAAATTTGTACGAACACCAATTTTTAGAGTGAAAGCTGTGCACTCTTTTACACATAAGGCTCCTGATCTTCAGAAAATGTAGCTCCAAAACAATTGATATTTTCATTGATAACTAGTAAAAATGTTACATAAAACTGATTGGTTTCTAACATTTTTATTTGCATTTTATCGTTCTGTTTTTTATTTCACAATTTGAAATAGAAAATGCAAATTGCTTTTATTCAAACTTAAGCGGTTTGTTGCAGTTGTTCTGCTGAGGCAATGGCAGTTTGTGACATCACACTCTTATCTGTGACATCACAAAGCTGCATTCCTTAATTCTACAGTAAGAATCATTACCCAGAGATCAAGTAGATCATTTCTGAGCAAGAGATTGAAAATAAACGTTTTTGAAGACAAAAAGGCGTTTCCTAACAAAGAAAAACATTGAACTTTTATTGGATTTGTCGAGACAGAAAGGAGCAACAATGAGTGAGAACAGAAAGCCTTCTCCTTCTGAGTACGAGGAGATCATACAACTCCATGACCAGACCGTAGCTCAACAGACACTGAAACTGCGCGTCATCCTGAATGAAACCGACACAGTCTCTGAGGAACAGTCTGAGGAACAGTCTCTTCTTAACGAAAACAAGGCTCCGGAGACTCAACTTGTGCAAAGCACACAAGTTGCATTTGAACAAGACGTAGAGCTTCAGCAGGAAGCCCAGGATTTGCAGATCTCAGTCAACGTAAATGCCTTCCTGCTGGAGAAAAACGAGGCTTTGGAAATCAAAGTGCAACTTCTGACCAGACTGCTGAGAGACAAAGAGGAGGAATACAAACTCCATTATCAGGCTCTGGAGGAACAAGTCCAGAACTTTCAAGATCTCCTGGCTGATTTGAAAGGCACGAAAAGGAAATGCGTGTTCCTGACGGAGCAGCAGGAGAACGACGAGTCAAGGAAACTCGAGGAAACTGACAAAAAGTTTCTCCGAGCGATGAAGAGTCCGCTGGGGCTTCAAGAAGAAACCAGGAAGCTTCCAGACAATTCAGGAAACAGTCCAGCCAGTGTGAAGGCTCCAACAGAGAACGCTTCAGCTGGACCGTCTGAGCCTGAAGATCAGAACCAGCAGCAGCAGAAGCAGCAACCATCTGAAGGGGAAACCCACGAAAAAAGCCAGCTTGTTTCTGAGCAGAAACAGAGGTCAGATCAGAACCAGGAGACATCTGCAGAGGAAACCCAAGGAGAAAGCCAGCTGGTTTCAGAACCAGCAGCAGAGCCACAGATGCAGCCGTCTGTCTTCAGAGGTGTGATCAGAGGCATCGCCAATACGTTCCTGAAGATGTATAGAACAGGCACCCTCAAATACTGGGTTGATTATTGGTATTTCTAAATAATAAAAAAGACATAAAAAGTGTCTACACTCTAAAAATAAATTGGTTAAATCAACTTAATTGAATTGCTTCAATTGATAACAAGTTATCCAATTAAGTTTACCCAACCTAATTAATTAAGTTGGCTTCACTTAATTGAATTGCTTCAATTGGTAACAAGTAATTCAATTAAGTTTACCCAACCTAATTCATTAAGTTTAACTTAGTAAATTGAGATCTTTCCAACTCAATATATTAAGTTAAACCATCTTACTTTTTTAAGCTGGTTCAACTTAATTGAATTATTTGTTACACAATTGAAGCAATTCAGTTAACTTGAACCAACTTAATACCAGCTTAATAAATTAAGTTGTCTCAATGTAATTGAATTACTTGTTACCAGTTGAAGCAATTAAATTAAGTTGGTTCTACTACATTTTAATTTTTCACTGTACAGGATATTTGAGAAACTAAACATGTTAAAACATGCATTTACAATAATTTAAGTTATAGCTGTGATAATGTAATTTTGTATTACATTATCAAAATTACATATAGTTTTTTAGTCAACTCAACTTAAACGTTTGAGTTGACTTTCTGTAGAATTAGGTCAAAGAGATTTGAATTATTAGGAAAAAAAATTGAGTAAGAGTGACTTAAATTTGTCATGTTAAACTTAATGAATTAAGTTATAAAAACTTTGTAAATTAATATGAATAAACTTAATGAATTGAGCTGGATGAAAGAGGAGCTGGACTGTCCTCCCATTAAGTCCTATGAAGCTAAAAATTAGCTGTGGCCAATATCTTTTTGTAGCAAAATCTTAGTATAATAAGATCAGATTTATAACATATACTATCATAGTATATGTGCACAAATACGCTACTGGACATAGTATCTATGTTTATATCTTGGTCTTTTTTTATGTTTTCTTGTATGTTGTTTTTGTTTGAAATAAAGTGATGGGATGGGAGAAAGAGAGAAAATACAGGAAGAAACTGCTGTGTAAATAGTCTTCTTCCACTTCAAAATAAGAGCATTAGTATAAACATCCAACTACTTGAAGAGTTAATTAACAGTAAATAACCAAAACTTCAACACATGTCAAACTTTACAGAACAGCCAAAGCTCTAAGCTATAAATTAGCTCCGCTATTACCTGCAGTGTGGTAGACATTTAAAACAGTCAGCAACCAAAACGTCAGCATAGATGTACTTTATTCGACTGTGAGTTTACAAAACAGGGAAGTAAATTAGTGGTTTAGGATTTATCTGGAAAAATTTATTTCAAGTAAACTAGCTAAGTGTCTTTATTTTTAAAAAAGCTAAAAATGAGCTTTGTAGTGGAAATGAAGACCCTACTGGGGCAAGTACTTTTCACAGCCCTGGTATTGAAGGAAACTGAACATTATCAAGGTAACAGTGCAGATTTTAACAGCCTGTTGGGTTCACATTTACCTTAAAGTAAAGGAAAACCAACCAAATGTTATGATCATCACATCTCGGCATTTCAAGGAGTAAGAGCCTGTTAGGAAGTGACAATGAGGTGCGTAAAGAGAGGGCTGATGGGAAAGCCAGGCAGCATGTGTGGTGTTTTTATTACGGGCTGCTCTTCTGATTTCTTCCCTGGAAGAATGAAAAAAGCTCCACCTCATCCATGAAACAGGTCGGCGACGCCTAGCCGAACAGGAAGGAAAGCTATACAGGCTCTAGCATGGCACGTGAAAGCCGATCTTGGCTGCATTTGAAGTTTTAAAAGCTTCTGCCTGAAAGATTTAGTATTAAGAGAGGAAACTGTATATGACACCCTTATAAATTGGAATCAATTTTTCAAAGGAAATCATAAAAGCCCTTTCTCGTCCCTCTTCTTGCCACGTTGATGGCTTCATTTAAAGTGGGTCTTTTCACTTTCTTTCTGGGCATCCGCCTGGAGTGTTGGCCTCTGAGACGGGAGGTTTACGCAGAGGTTAGAGAGTTTTAAAGGTCCAATTTGAGCCGTTTTTACATTACATCAGGCTATCTTGTGGTATTGTTAGGAAAAAGGAGCAAAGAATAATACTGTGCCGGGGAGAACGACAAAGCCAGTCACTTCCTACCAACTGACCCAACTGATGAGAAAAGCAAAGCCTGTGTTACGGCTTGCAGCGCTCCTAAAAGGGTCCATATGTACGAAGGCCATCGTTAAGCAGTTCTGGTTCCGTTGTGCTTCACTTGCCGGGCTCGTAACAAAACGCCGGGCTCTCTGGGGGGCGTTGGGGTGACGCATGATGATGACTCTTTGTCCGCTCTTCATCCCACATCACCGCTGTTTTCATCTACACCATGAGTACGAGCAGAGGGGGGTACCAAAAAATGTACTCAAGCAAAAACTAAAATTATTCAAGTAAAAAAGTATTTGGTAAAATGTTTACCCAAGTACTGAGTAACTAATCAAATTATCAATCATTTAATATTTAGAAATTACATCAGATGGACCAAAATAAGTGGGAATTTGGGGATGTTAGAGAGAAAAATAACAACTCATACAAATAACAAAAAATAACAGGCAAATATATTTTCTTTCCAAATCCGTTTCTTTCAGTGAAAAACTTAAAAAAACAAAAACCACAGATGTATGTCTGAGTCTGGTGAAGTTTTTGTCTCTGTGCACTGGGAGGTGGACAGAGACAAAAATGAACTTTACTCAAGTAAATGTAACTAGTTACTACCCAACTCTGAGTACGATCAGAAAGAACGTCATATTCATATTCAGATCATTATTTATGTACAAGGCGCTGCAATAAATTCCTCTGTTCAACCAATGGAGGTTAAAGACAAAACTTATCGATAAAAACAAAGTTCTGGTAAGACGAATAGGTAAACAATAAATAAGCAACTAATGCCTAATATAAATCTGCCTGTTTATCGTAAAATGGTTTTATAATAAAATGCCGCAGTTTGTCACAGTTCTTCCTGGGTTTTTTTCACTAATTAGTAATTTTCCATAGTTTATAGTTCTGAACTGTTAAAAGGATCCAGGACTAACTGATGTTGGCCTAAATATGTTGCAATTTTCCTACTACCTAAAAAATGCTGTTTGTGATGCGCCAAAACTCATAATGACTTTAAAAAAACGAGCTATTGCCGCTGGAATTGCTAATGGATCTGGTACCGAATGTGAAACCACTACAACACCGAACGAGGTGTTGGTTCGGCAGCAACCGGACACAGAGCTATAGAAGTGCTCACAGGATCACACAGTGACCAGAGGTACGTTCATTGTTTCATTATGAACCTGAAGGCAGCAGCTCCTGTGGCCAACTCTGTCCTCTTCCTCTGTTTGGTCCTCCTCATCTTCATCACCTCTTCTGATTTCGACGTTCCGATCCATTTCAATGCGCTCCGGTTCAAATTAAAAAGGCTTAAAGTTTCCATCAGTTTTGGCTGGAGGAACCACGCAGTTGGACCATTACACGTCATTTACCCAGAATGCATTGCAGCGTGAACAACGTGACGACATTCCTGTGACAATATTTTGTTAAAATGTATAAAAACTACATAACCTACAGTATTATTACTGTATTGTTTTTACATCTAAAATAAATATTTCCCAAATAAAGTCTATTTTTATAACTAATCGTGGATCTATTTAAAGTGACAGTAGCCAAAATACTTTACTGTAATGTAAATTATGGCTGCCAGTATTTTACTGTAAATTAGAGGCATATATTTGATATACATATGTAGCATTTTTATAACAACTTAAGTCAACACGATCTTTTGTGTCGCAGTTTGTTGATGTTTTTCTGTTTGTTAGAAAGCGTGAAAATGAAGCAACGTGAGCTCATGGAAATGTTGCAGTTTTATTTGTGATTCATAATTCAGATATTTGAAGAAACAAATGAACAACCTTTACAGCAACCTGATTTACAGCAGCATCATCATTTAACCTAAAACTGATATCAAACCGTTGGTGAAATGCATTAATTTGCTCCAAACCCCATTGGGACTTTTAGACTCGATTTCCTCCACCTCCTCTCCCGTGGAGATGAAGGAGTTAAATGACGAAGACGATGAGTTTCACCCCCGGTAAAGAGGGTTAATGAGATAAAAGCAACGCAGCGACCTGGGTGGTCTCTGGGGATCCCAGTCCTTGTAAAGATGGCGACCTCCAGGATGACCCACACAGCTGCAGCAAAGACTTGGTAACAAGTCATGATTCAATTAAGATGCGCTTCAGTTTGGCTTTGGAAAATATGGTGCCAAAGTCGAACTGCAGATGCTACTGAGCATATATGCTCCTCAGCAGGTATATTATGGGCTGTTTGTTAAAAATTAACACCAATAATTTGGGTTATTTAGCCTGTAATGAAAAAAAATTAAACATATTTTCATCTTAATGATTCGTTTGTAAATGTCACTTAATATTTATTAAATCCAATTTAAATATTTTGCTCTAAAATAAATATGTATTTAGTTCTCAACCTAACTATTTAGCTCCAAGCTATAGCTGAATATTTAGTTGGTTTGTAAAGTAAATATTTACTTTACAAACTAAACACTTAGTTTGTAAGCTAAATATTTAACTTAAAATAAAACTTAAATATTTAGTTTGTAAGCTAAAGATTTAGTTTACTAAACAAATATTTAGCTAGGCCAGGCCTAAATATTTAGCTAATACCCAAAATCACTTGATAAGTGGAAGTGGACTACCAAAATAAAAGCTTGGTCTTTGAAGCTTCTATGTAAACTCCTCTTGGTGAGACTGAATCTTTCAACTATTTATCTCTGAGCTAAATATTTAGATTCACACTAAATATTTATCTTCAAACTAAGCTAAATAAAACTTAGTCTGAAGCTGACTAAATATTCAATCAGCAAACTGTTGACTTGTTAATTGAACATTTAGCTTCAAACTAAATATCTAGTCAGCAAGCCAAATATTTAGTTCGTAAGCAAAATATTTGGTTTGCTAGCTAGATATTTATTTTAAATATTTAAGTTTGCTACCTAAATATTTAGTATGAAACTAAATATTTAGCTTGCTAATTACATAGTCTAGATAT